GCGCTGACGTCACGAGGTTGTTGCGACCGCCTCAGTTGTTGCTACGAAGAAGGCAGGTCGAATAACACTGATCAACAAGCGCACGTGCCTTTGCCCGGCCGAAGTTCCTTCCACCTGCCAACACTCGCACTCAGAAAACACTTGCTCCAGTCTTGCCAAGGCCGGGCACGCAAGCTTGAACACCTACTTCTTCGACACTGTCCACTCCCCGCCGTTGAACTTCCAAACTTGGGGTGAAACAATCTAAAGATGATTTGTAGATCTACAGGGCTCCTTCTTGAAACGAGCACGACAGTGAGAAAGACGTGGGCAAATCAGCTTCCGTCTGCAACAGGCCAGTCAGCAGGATAGAGGGCTGACAAGGAAGCACCCAAAAAATCACGAATATCAGCTGCGGTCTTGTACTCCCAGCCATTCCTCAGCCTGGGCTGCCTGTTCTTTGCTGGGGCATTTCCCCTCACAAGCAAGCCAAGCATGCCGTCTGGCATGTCCGAGGTTGGCAACTCGCGTCCCAGCTTGCTTTGCATGGCCCGCACCACGTAGTTGCTTGTTGAATCTTGCTGGTAGATCCACATTGCGTCACAAATTGTCGTCTTTGCATAATTTGGTGACAGCACCGCGATGTACGGGAGTAGGTTTGATGATACGCCCCTCTGCTTCCACCATGCCACCATGTCGTCCGGCGTCTTGCAATGCTCCTGGGGCACTTTGTGCAAGAACACGCCTTTGACCTGCTCAGTTTCTGGCAGACTCAAGAGCTCGTGGACAAAGCCGTACTTGGCCTGGACGCATCGGAGGCTGAGCGCGATCAGCACGATGGCCTCCCAGTCGAGGCCGCTCTCGCACCTTTCAGACAGCTTGGGGATCTCTTCGACCCAACCAGCAATTTCATGCAACTCCAGGTATGAGAGCATGTGGCCCACATAGGCAAGGATCCACCGAATTTGTCCGCTGGCTGGGGATTCGGTGAGGCTATCGAAGGCTCGTATTGGATCTGAGTTTAGACCCCGCCTTCCCGTGAAGAACTCTGAGAGAAAACATTTGGTCAAGGCTTCTGTTGGTTCTCCACATTCTATTGCCTGGAACCGGTCCAGCACGCTGAAGCTGCTGCCTTGCGTCTTCACGGCGTATATTAGGGATGGTATTCGTCCATAATACACAGCCTCGCAAGGAGTCAAAGCGTCACATCCTTCGCCCATGCTCCTGAGTTCCCGCATGTCACGCGAACTAGGCATCTCTACAGCCTTTGCTGCACGAGGGCTACCTGTGCCCTTGCCCAAAAGATGGGA